AATGAGCATTTCTTTCTGGCTACTATGTATAGGTTTCTATGTAAGAACTGGTACTTCTGAATGGGTTGATGCTGGGATTTAGCACATTTGCCACTGGCTTCTCAGAAAAATAAATAAATAAAAATACCGTTTTATACGTGTCCGTTACATCTGAAATACTTATACAGTTTACTTAAATACATTGCTTTGATTTTCAGGCTATGACAGCGCCGGCTCAGTACTTATTTCTCCAGTCCCACATCAGATGATGTCGTACATGAATGTGGGCACCTTATCCAGAACCGAACTACAGCTACTCAACCAGTTACACTGTCGGCGCAAGAGACGACACCGAACTATTTTCACCGACGAGCAACTGGAGGCACTGGAGAACCTTTTCCAAGAAACCAAATACCCTGATGTTGGCACACGAGAGCAATTGGCACGAAAGGTGCACCTACGCGAAGAGAAAGTAGAGGTGAGTGAAATCAATGTATCGTTCACTCTGTAAATGACAGAGTTCACGTTATATTATATTTACAAAAAGATGGCTGAAGTTCCTAGTAATGCAATACGTGTAGGCCTACTTAACCTATAATTATTTTTTGAAGCTGGCTATAATTTCACAGTGCTGTTGCCATTACTATGTTAATTATTTAGAGTGGCCTAAGACGTTTGCATGTGGACATTTCATTCCATTTTTTGGTGAACAAATTATTTATCGAAGGCCACACAGTTTATACAAATGGTATTTTAGGAAGATACATCACTGTTAAAAAAATAAATCCACTAAAACTTTGTGATGCATTTCTTAAAAATAAATAACTTTGACCAATAGTAGAAATTTCCGAAAATTGTGACGTTATAAATATAAATAAATTGCCTATGAATAAATAGATATAGGCTACACGAAAAACGTTTTAGCAACTACAAAAGTTACATTTAACCTTAGTCAGAATGCGTTTAGCTTGGAGGTAACAATAGCAACAGGTCGTCTTCCATCAAACCAGTGTTGGCACTGTCATTATTTATCACTTTATTCTAGATGTACATATTACAAAATGGTTAAGTGTGATGTCTATAACGTAGCTATTTAAGATATCTGACGAGTAGGCATATAGGTCACGGTGTCGGGCGACAAAGTACAATTTGGGCTGCGTGAGACGAACCTCAACAGAAAATTACTGACAGAGATTTCTAACAACCTAAAAGACAATGAATAATTAGCATACTGCATAAAATCAACTCGACCTTTCACGTGACGTGTTTTCCCCCCTCCATATCCTTGAAATTAAGCATTTTACCATCTTCTCCGCTTAGGTTTGGTTCAAAAACAGACGAGCAAAATGGAGAAGACAGAAAAGGTCGTCGTCAGAGGAATCAGAAAACTCACAGAAATGGAACAAATCCACGAAAACAACCACTGAGAAAATCGAGGAGGGCAAAAGCGACGTGGATTCTGACAGCTGATAAATAGAATATGAGACCGGAAAATCTTGCACAAATATGATTCGGACTTGATGTACATATTGTAAAGTACCATGAGTAGGAGTGAATATGTGTTGTCATGCTGTTGCACAGATGTATAGTAAATGTTACATTTAACAATGATATTGTTATTTATATTAATTTAAATTTACACAGACAAAATAATGTGGATTCTGGCCATAGTAATATTACCTGATATATACAGAAACGTTTTTTTAAAGTCTTGTCGTATTAAGATATACATAAGATGTTCTGGAGTGGGCTGTAACTGAAGACATGTACGGTGGCAGGACGATACATTTTGACATTGATTAAATCAACGTTTTATGCCGCTTGAAAACAAAAAAAACACATAAGCAAATATTAAAGTAATATCTAAAATGTTCGATTTTTCGTATTTATTTTAAATATTGCAATTATTCTGTAAGAGCATTTCAATTCGCCGAGTCATCTTAGAATTTGATGGCATTTGTTGAAACGAGGAAATTTGTAATTTAGTTGTGTAGTATAAAATACCGTAATTAAATTTCCATAGTATGTAGAGATATCTCATAATTTGTGAACTCGAGACAGTAGTTCGAGCTAATTGTCTCTTTAGGCCTATTCTATATTGTCTGACTATAATTTACCATTAGGTAAATAATAGATGGCACATTGATTGGGAACAAATTTATTAGAAAATTTAGCTTCACGTGAAAATGTCAGAGGATGTCTCTTTTTTTATCTCTTGTAAGTTTAAAATTATATATATATATGAAGAGTTCAGATGCAAAAGCCTCTAAGTACG